GGTCCTCCTCCTCCTCCCCATCCCCTACTCCTGGCTGGCGCCCCTCAGGTGCGAGAGCGGCGGCACTTCCGACCAGCTTCCCACACCCCCGCATCAAGACGTTGCGGACCCTTCAGCGCGGTATCACGATTGTTTTGTACCTCTCTAGAGGCGCCTTCCTCCGCGTAGTCAAGACGCGGCCTGGATGCTGTTTTGGCCTAGGGGTGGACGAGCTGCGCAGCGTGATTTGGGCGGATGTTCCAGAGATGGTCAGCGCTTCCCCCCCCCCCACCCCCAGGGAGGACTGCGGCCCTTCGCACCTGGACGGGTGTGGGTGTGCGGCACCAGTCTTCGCAACCCTGGTCCCCGATGCGTCAAGGGCTGTGATGCCCCAGATTCGTTTACTGTTCGAGGTACCTTGGGTTCCTGAACTGGGCGGTCCTGGCTTCTGGCACTCCGCTGCCGTCTTTGATGTTCCAAGTGTTGGCCCTCTGTCCTTGCTCCCTTCCTCGGCTTCGGTTTGTCGCCGTCTTTGTTGTCACTCTCGTCGCCTCCTCCACAACATGCGGAGATGGTTTGGCGGATGGGTGCCCTCCGAGGCGCCAGAATTTGCCCGTCCTGCTGACCTCCCGCACAGTGCAGGGTGTTCGTCGATGATTGTGGATTGAGTTTCTTGGGGACGCTCTGCTTCCTCTTCCTCTTCCTTCGAGACATGCTCCAATTGTATAGCCTACGCGGCAATTCGTGCGGAGAGCTCACGCGTGTCACAACCATCCGACCAGTTGACTTTTCATACGTGGCTCACGCGTGATAGATCACCTCTCTCTCCCTCTCCATATATATATATATATGCGTATATATATATATGTATGTGTATTTATATATATATATATATTACTGCGAGGGATGTTAGTCTCAAGAGCGATGGGGAATACATACACACATATATATATATATATATATTATATATATATATATATATATATATCCGCGAACCCCTCTGGGTTACCTGCCGTCGTTCTTGCTGCCTCCCATGAATATCGAGGATTGCACGGCACCGCTGTCTGGCGTTCCGCCCTCACGCACGCGACACTTCTCAGCGCGGCTGTTGGCAAGCTGGGGAGATAGCAAGTGAAGTAGTACGCAAGAAGAAGGCAAAGCCTGGCGGACGCAAGCCTGAGGTTGAGTAAGCATTGGTCCAGTTGGGTGCGCTGTCAGCCAGAGCAGGCGAGTGCCTGTTAAAGCTGCCGCCATGCCTTCGAGATCCAGGGGTTTTCCGGGGAACGGTCTCTACCCGCATCTCGCCTCTCGGTCATGATGTCGCCCAGCAGTTTGACGAACGCCTCCTTTGGCGGTTGACTTGTGACAAGTCGCAGCCCCTCGCTTCGTTGAGGAAGACGAAGCAACATAACGACGTGCACGGCCAATTGAACCGCGTCTCGTGCGGGTCCCAGCGCGCGACAAATTGTCGGAGAAGTTTCTGATTCGCGCGATTCCGCAAGTCCTGCCCATGCGCAAGGCCGATAGTGATGGCGGTACCCTTCCTGGCAAGGACCGCCTCGGAGGTGCGCGCTCTCCGCCCATGACCCATGAAGATCTCGGTGAAGTCTAAGCGCACCCCCGCCTCTTGCAAGTGCCAGGCCTGCTCGCCCAACCAAGCCCTCAGCTCCTCCTCGCTGGCCTCGTCCTCCTCTGGGCCTCCCGCCCAGTAGTCCTCAGCCTCCGCCTCGGGCTGCTTTGGCGATGGTCTCAGAGCAGGCCCGCCAGGAAGCCTGAAGCGGGTCGGCGACGCAGCGCACCTTCTGCAATCTTGGCGTACCTTTGGCACGCCAAGGCTCTCGGCTGTAAGAGTGCGGCCGTTGAGGGACATTTCCAGCGGCGCTTCCCATCCGAAATCTGGGATCCTCTTCACTGCCACCCCCGTGGCGCCACTAAGGCCCGGGGGTGCCTCTTGTGCACCAAGACCCAGGTTATGTTCGCCTCACTGAGGTCGAACGTTGGCCCGACGATGAGCACGATTGCTGGGCGGCCGTAGGAATCCACTCGAGTAGCTCTCAGCGCCTTGGTATGCAGTGCCTCTGGTGGAAGCGCAGCGTACACTCGGTAGTCCGTGCCGTGGTCTTGTTGGGTGCGGTCGTGGCAGAATACGCGTAGGTTTGGTTCAGCTTGAGTGAGGGCCCGTGGCGCATCGCCGAGGGCCTCCTCCGCCGTGTTGGCTGCTCCCAGCATCTCCTTACTCAGCATCGGGCTCTCTGGCTGAACGTCGACGCCGACGGCAGGCCTTGCTGTGCGCCCTCCTTTCCGTCAACGAGGAGGGCGGCCGCCACGTTGATCACGGCGCATTCTCTCATCTCGACCTCGAGGGCTCGGCGGTCGCCGCATGTTGGGCTCCCGCGAGCACGTCGACCGTCTCAGCGTGCAGCGCCGTCTTGCCCCGTGAGTCCAGCATCGCCCACTCCGCGCTCGCCAGGATGAGGGTGCCTCGCCCCGGTTCGTCGTTTGCTCCCCGGGTGGTGCGGCC